GTCACGGCAGAACGTGGGTATTTGGGTGCCCACACACCCCTAAGGGGACATGCCGTGCCGAGGAATGCCAAGGGTCCTGCTGCGGGCTGAAGAAGGGCCTAGTCCCCTGTCGACGAACTGAGCTCCCAACTACAAGTGTGTCAAATACTCTCTGGTTGATCCCGTATAACTACATAGAAATAATAAGACGCCACATTTATATCATATATGGTTACAACATGAGGGACTTCAAATGATGTAAAAAATGGTAAGTGAAATATCATGATGCAATTGCATTATACTAAAAACATACATGAATAAAACAAATGGGCGATTACTGACCTGGATACGAGACGAGAGGTGATGAGAAGAGCAGATGAGTTGAGAGACGATGATCGACGGTTACGGGAAAAGCCCACGGGACGGAATAAAGGGAGCACGCGACGATCCACCAGCCTCGCACGACGAATGCATACAGACGACTGACGGGAGTAGATACGCAGCGACATGTTATGCTTACAACTAAATTCCCGCGTTTCCGGCAATTTCTGGCCTTCGCGTTAGGACCGAAGGCAAGTGGACCTGGAGCGCGGTTTCCTCCCGACGCATGCTGTAAACCGTGGAGGTCGAGCGAGAGGCACGACAGTAACGTTCTATGAAAAACATCAAATAAATAGTATAATTAACTACTACAAAAGTACACAACTAGGCTTCTTAAGCTTCACTTCATACCAAAAACGGCTATTTTAGGACTCTCAACTTTGTTATTGCTTTTCCACTTTGGGTACATCGTCACCAACCACTCAGCTGGAGCGGAAATATTGATTTTTAAATCCTTAATGTCTTTCCTATGTGAACAAATCGTAAGTCAGTAGTAATGATGAATGCGCACGAGAAGCTTCGAAAAAGTTGGCAGATGTGATCAAGGAGGATCCTGCCGAAGTCAAGGTGATGATTGAAGAGGGTGGCATTAGTAAGAGCGCACCCGGGTTAACGCTAGGGAGAAGGCAGAGATAATTTATCGAGTTGTCCAAGCAAGCAATGGATTGGGGCTTCCGCCAATTCAAAAGCCTAACAAACAAAAGAAAAGCTACTAATTCGTGAACCTGTAGCCAATCGGTGCCACATTTCCAAATCGATGAGCAGCGAATGGGATGGAGAGGAAGTGTGGGGCGATGGGTTCAAAGTCCACTCATCTGCATCGATCAAATTTCAATAAACTGTGCAAACTGTGTTCAAGTGTGGAGACGTTGCACATTAGAAGCACGGAAATGAACCATAAGGTGAAAGCGAGAATAACAGTGGTGAAAGTCACGTTGAGTTCCATAACCCCGTCCCTTTTTCTTTTCTCATTGGCTTCCACTCTGTTTTGCAAACAGTCGATTAAGGCATCGATCAGCCTTGAGAATCGATCGTGGCTTTGAGCGAACCACCTATTCGACCGTTTCGAATGTCAGGATTGTCCCAATAAAATCTATTATAGAGGTCTTTATAACTCTGGAAAGCCAATGAGCTCACTTAGCCTGCAGTTTTTCAGCCACGCCTCTTGCCTTCGTGTCCCATCTCAATGTCAAGTTTGGGGACTCGGTCAATATCCGTAGAACTCGACTCCCAAAGAGTCCGATCGAGCAGATAATCCATCAAAATCACCGAACTTTTCAATTTAATCCACCTAATAGACCGTATGTACGATAACGGCGCGATTGGGGCAATGCCACCAACGCCATATGGATATGCTCGGCCACTCAGTCGTCAGGAGAGCAACTGCTGCACAAAGGGTAGCTCACTGTAGATGTTAGCGCGGACTGGATACCAAACAAGGGGAAGCTTCTTTCAAAGTCATCTCGGCAATTTGGCAAGATTGGTTTTAGAAAAACGGTAGAAGAAGTACATATTGGGTTCTTGGAAAAGAATGGAATGGGCAGGATGAAAGACTATCTTAGTTCATGGTCCAGGGTAATTCGCTGTTTTCGAAGTCTTTGAACCCTTGACTGACTCGACTTTTTGACTTGGGAACCACCTGGTAGAGTTTAATTAATTTCCAAAATTTATCATCCGGAACCATTAGATACTCTTATCATTGTCTGAATACTACAAAAAGAAGACCTAACTATGTAGTATGTTCTGGCCAGTTTCCGAAATGGAATAAGGGACAGCTTGTAGGAAGTGACGGGAGGACAAGTGAAAAAGTAAAAGAAACCAACAGACGAAGATGTCTCGTCGCCCGCCGGTCGAGCAACTTTGAATCAATGAATACAGGGGGCCCAATCTCTGATTAGTGATCAAATCGAAGAGATCATTGACGACGATCTCCGATTTGATCACTAATCAGAGATTGGACCGTCTGATTCTGACGCAAGATGAGCCAAGGGACACAGCTAGCGCTAACACCTTCTTCAATCAGTGCTACTCATAGTGCTGGAGGAAGGTCTTCACGTCTGCCACCATGAATCTATGCAGAAAGTGGACTTTGAACCATCGCCGGCCACCATCCCCCACCCCACCCCATTCGCTGCTCATCGATCCGGGACCTAAAGATACTGTGTCTCGATGTTAGCCACGCGTTAACTGTTGTTTTTCGGTTGGATTCCAAATAATTTTTTTTCAAACTGACAAACTAAGGTTGACAGCTAGCCCGAATTCCGATGTTAAATGCTCTTGCCGTATCCCTCTTTGAGAAAAGGAGAGCAATCAACCAACGCCAACCACTGGAAAAGTCCTCGTGAACAAAGCCTGCCGTATGGCCGTCAAGCAATCTCTTCGGGAGTACAGGAGAACGAAGTTACTGGAAGCAGCCGTAGCGAGATCGAGCATCAGGCGCTGCAAAGGAGATCTCAACGATCAGAAAGCTGTGATGTCCGCTCTCTTGGACAAAGATGGAAGTGTAAAAACGTCTAGATGTTCTATGGAGAATATCGTTCAAGATTTCCACACAGACCTTTTCGTTCCTCCACCTTTGTGCCTGAATGCTCGATACCGCCTTATGAAGAGCCTCCCGCTACCTAGATTTGGAAGAGGCAAACGCGATAAGAAGCATGAAGAAAGGTAGAGCTCCAGGCTTGGACAATATCCCTGCGGATGTGCTGCGCTCTGGAAGTACCACTCTTCACACCCTTCTTGCGGAGCACTTCAATCACTACCTCAAATCGAAAAGGATTCTAGAGCAGGGGAAAGAATCGAAAACCATTCTTATTTTCAAGAAAGGTCAGCGAGAGGACATCTCCAACTACCGTCCCATCAGCATATTATCGGTGGTATACAAGTCATTCACGAATATTCTGCTCCACCGCATGGAACGCATCTTGGACGAACACCAGCCAGTAGAGCAAACTTGGTTCAGGGAAAACTTCTCGTGCATGGATACCATCCAAGCAGTCAAACAGCTTATCGAGAGAAGCCGAGAATACCGCCTCCGTTTGGCCCTTCTCTCCGCGGACTACAAGAAGGCGTTCGACTCTGTGGAGATCAAGGCTGTTTTAAATGCTCTTGGCAAGCTGGAGTTGATCCCGCCTACGTCCACCTGCTGGAACAGTGCCTCTCAAACACATCAACGTTCATAGAGCTGTTCGACCGAAAGCTGAAGATTCCAGTTGGAAAGGGGGTGCGACAAGGAGATACCATTTTCCCAAAGCTTTTCACGGATGCGTTACAACATCCGATGTTGAACCTAGACTGGGAGGATATCCCGTCAACGGCAGAAAATCAATAACCTCCGCTTCGCCGATGATATCGTCTTGATATCAAGCAGCACAGCCGAAATGGAAAAGATGGTCAACGAACTCAATGCGGAAGCCGGCTGATAGGCTTGGAGATGAATATATCCAAAACGCAGTTGATGGTTAACAAGTGGTGCGATACGGGAACCTTAAGGTTAGAAGGAAGAACTCTGCAAAGAGTTGAATCCTACGTATATCTGGGAAGAGAACTGAACACGATGAACAATATCGCTCCAGAACTGAATCGGAGAAGAAGTGCTGCATGGACAGCTTCCGGTTCAATTCGTGAAGTGACAGACCAGGTCAGCGATCCCGAACTCAAGACATCGATATTCAGCGCCTCAGTACTGCCAGCGATGTGTTATGCGACTGACACGTGGCCTGACAATGAAACAACTGCCAAAGCCATAAAGACTTCTCATCACGCGTTGGAAAGAAGTTTTCTGAAAATCAGTCGACGACGACAGTGGCTGCAAGGCTTGCGAAGTTCAGACCTACAGGAGAGATCGCGTTTGAAAGACCCGCTTCAATACATGGCACATTCGAAGCACCGCTGGGCCGGTCATCTAGTTCGTCGAACTGATGACAGATGGAGTCTTGAGTCACAGAATGGCTCCCGAGAAATAAAAGAAGACCGTCAGGACGTCCGCCGACTCGGTGGGTCGATTCGTTTTCCGAAAATTTCAGAGACAACGGCCTACATTGGATGCAAGTCACGAAAGATTGGGCGGTATGGAGGAGCTGTGGTCCCCGCTGAGAAGACCCTCTCGCCGATGGACCATCAAAGTATCAAAGTAAGTATTATGCATGACTACTGCTTCGCTAATGAACATTACTAAGCCCGGTAAACGTTTCTACGACCTTCTGTCCTGTTGCCGAACCATCATAGCGGAACTTTTGGCGTTGATAAGGCGTGGCGGTTAAGGTCAGACTTTGAAGGAAAGGAAGGCTCGAGCAGGTACCAGTTAGGGATTCATCCCGGGTCCGTAATTGTGTGATGGTGCGCCACATCGGACTGCACCACACAGTTCCATGGTTTGTGGTGCTAACAATTTCTTTTAGAAGAACAATAATCACTCACATACAAAGGACAAGGGTGACACAGCTGTTTGGACCTGTATCACACGGTCATCAGGGCGACCTTTGCTTATCAGTATCAATCCAGCGACCGTCGCAAAGCACCACCAGCACAGCAAAGCAACAGGACATTATGCTGACCAGCCCGTCACGATTATCACTCCTTTTCAGATCATATTCAGTTTTATGATCAATTTATAGTGTCGCGGATAATTTAGAAATTGCAGTATGCGTATTTTTCTTGTGCTACTCATTTGTCTTGCCATTGTGTCCGCATTTCACAACGTTCGACGACATCGTCGGCATCGTCGAAGAATTCGCCACAAGACGATTACATTAAAAGCGGTACCAGTTGTCATATGGCATGGAATGGGTGAGTTTCGAATGCATCCATACGCCGCGAAACTGTTTTTTTTTNTTTTTTTTTGGAAACTTTCCATGCGTCCAATTGCTTTGGGATGCTTATCGTATGTCTTCCCACTGGCCCCCTCGGTTTCCATGACGAAAACCCAGATTTCGAGGGACAGGTGCTATTCTGTTCAATCCTTTAACAGTCGTTTTACATTTCAGGTGATAATTGCTGCAACCCGTTTTCGATGGGCAACATCAAAAAACTTATCGAAGAAAATGTTGATGGAGTTTATGTGAAAAGTTTGATGTTTGGAGATAACTTGATGGAGGTGAGCTACAGTTCAAAATTTTTGTTTTTTTTTACGCTCTATTTTTTTGCCACTGTTCGATCCCATTCTGAGATGCACCCATCAGTGTCTTGGGGAGGCAGTAAACCAGAGCATGGAGCCGTAGCACAGAACTACGGGTTCGAGTCCCGTCCTAGGCCAAGTTTGACCACCTTCAGATCGTGTACTACGCTCTACCAGCAGCTAACAAAATACCACTGTAAAAGTCAGTGTTCCCATCCTCATAAATGAATCTTTCACAAATCGGTCGATCCAATGGTAGCGAAGATGTAAATTGATCAGTGGATATTGACCTTGAATTCGATCTTAAGCTATATTCCCAGTATTATTGCAGTGTCATCAGACCTTACATCACTTCCGCCTTCGTAAATTTCTAATAATAGCTTGAAGCTGTCCTGTAACTCTTCTACAGTGATTATGACTAAATATCGTAAGCCTCTGAGCAAGCTTTTTCTGAAATTATTCGAAATTACAGTGATTCTCTATAAAGAGTTGGGGTTACAGGACACAGAAAAGGGTTTCTTCGCGGATATGAATGATCTGGTAGCGGATGCTTGTAAACAGATTCGTAACGATACACTGTTACAGTTTGGATATAACGCAATTGGCTTCTCACAAGGAGCACAATTCATGTAAGTTTGAACGTTCATTACAGTCAAGTCAAATTACCTAGTTAAGAAGCGATAACCAGTTGTTACAGCCAGGTATAAATGACTTATGCTGCAGCGCAAGCAAGGTGGTTGAGGGTGCGGGGCCGTACTGTTGGCAGACTGGTTAATGGGGGACTCCAATATCCTCTGATCACCTTTAACGCCACGGTTAACCTAGGCTAAGTTTAGGTCCAAGAAATTTCTCATACCACTACTCAACATATGCTATTTGGGCAGATTTTAACAGAGAATCGGAAGCTGAGCTGAATTAATTGTTCCACTCATTATGCAGTAATACACTTCGAAGTTTGCCCGATTATTGGCGATTCCGCAAAGCCTAGAACTCTCTAGAAATTACACTTTCCAAGCTTTCTTCAGAATATTTTTCCTTCCAGAAGAGCTGTGGCGCAAAGATGTCCTGACCCGCCAATCAAGAACCTCATATCAGGTACGATTCAAAATCCTTGAAAATCGACATGATCAAAGTAACCTTTCGTTGTAGTTCTTGACTACCCTCCGAGATTGGTAACAACAATTTCTCTAGTGTCTGACGTTGTCACTAATTCTCTTTTTCGGAGGCTGTGAAGTCGAAAGCATATCTGTGACAAACACGGACACTTCAAAATAACAAAACAGAACTCTGGAGCTGTAAAATCAAAAGGCTAACCTTGATACGTGTGGGGGTCTACACCCTATCAGTATTTCATGAGTTTTTGAAGTCCTGAGGTCGGGTTGGGGAACTCTCAAGATTGAGAAAGTATTAACTCAAGTAGCCCGAGGGCTGGGTTCCTGCAGATACCCGCGCATCATCCTTGAATTCAATTTTTAGAGGATTTAGGGTATTTCCAGCGTAACCCCATGCTTCGACGGCAAGCGTTGAGTGGGATGAACTGTGTAGACCAAAGATACACTGGTCGACTAGAGGGAGATCGTCAAGAATTGCGTTCATAAATCTCCTTAATAATTTCGACTTCGCTAAAAAATTTTTTTAGTTGGTGGACAACACCAGGGTGTATTTGGTCTGCCCTATTGTCCTGGAGATACAACACTGTGCAACATGATTCGGAGGCTACTCGATTTGGGAGCTTACAACCACTATGTTCAACACCAGTAAGTCTCAAGTTTTGATGAGTTTTCAAGGGCGTTCACGTCATTCCGGGGATGAGATAGAGGTGGGCAGATTTCATGCACGATTAAAGTATCGCTTAACAGTGTCAGATGGATGGACAGACTACTCTATGGTCACTGCTAGATTCTTGTACTCGTAGGATAGAAACACGATTTCCGCATAAGACCGTTTTCGTAAATCCTGGCTGAGCAAAACAAGCCAAAATTTTGGGGACTCCAAAAAGAAGGTGGCGTGAGTCAAATGTAGCCCAGTCAGAGCCTATTGTGAACCCATGCTCTCATTTGAACCACTTGAAGGCAGAAAACTGAGAGTAATTTTCGTCCTGCTCTCTAAAGGAAATCACGCGATCCTGGACTGAAAATCACAAGAGTTTCCCGCTTAAAAACGATGTCGTTCAATTTATTGATTCTTCTTCTTTCGATTCCTTGCTGTAGACTTTTACACCGCTATGATTACTATTCTATTTTAGAGTCGTACAAGCTCAATACTGGCATGACCCCTTACATGAAGATGAGTACAAAGAGAAAAGCATTTTCCTCGCTGATATTAACAATGAACGAGTGAGTTTGAAAAATTCTGGAAAGATCGGTGAGATTTCGAGAACGATAAAGGCCTAGGAGAAATGGGGCCGAGAGGCTCATGCCAATACCACACAGTTCATAAACTCCACAACTTGATATTGACAACAGACCAAGGGGGATCGAGATTTGTACTTGCAGTTGAAAATTTTGATTTGTGTTGGATTTGATCACGTTAGCAATTGGGAAAAGGTAGTAAATATGCAGGATAGCCTCTTGCAGGATAGCCTCTTGCTCCCGCACGAAGCATGAGGACCAGTTCTCGGTGAAGGCTCAAACTAACGAAGGACGATTTATTTACATTTTGTGAAGTTATTCTTATTTTCAGGAAATCAATACTGACTACAAGAAGAACCTACTAAACCTTAAGAACATGTTACTTATCAAATTCACAAGGGACCATATGGTCGTACCTATGGAGTCTTCGGTAAGTTTTACCAACCGTAACCTTCAGACAGCGCTTAGTTTCCATACTGGAAACAACAATTTGCATATCTCCTTACCGTTTCCCAAAAAGTCGATTCCAGTGGTTCGGATATTACAAAGAAGGTGATATAGATACAATAATGACGATGAATGAGACGAAATTATACACCGAGGTAGGTACTACGAAAAACATGTTTTTAAACTAAGAGTTACTGACTATTTTTACCTCTCGAAAAAAAATACTTATACATAGGACCGAATCGGCCTGAAAAAGTTGCACGAAACAGGTCGCTTGCATTTTCTCGAAGTAGAAGGTGATCATCTCAAGATTACTCGCGAAGAATTCAAAAAAGAAGTTATCGACAAGTATTTGAAATGAAACAATAATAAATATTTATAAAGAGGACTGAAAACATGACTAAATAAAGATTATTTCTCTATGAAAAATAATCGCAAAAGTGATTGCGTTGACGTTTGCTCTTTCAAAACTATTTTCCCTGCATTTAACCTTGAAAGTCGTTTTTCAAATGTCTTGGTGTCAGAAAAGAATGTAGTGATGAGATTCTGACGGATTTATTAGAATCACTGTGTCCAGGGTGCCTTCCATCCACCGAATGTATTGGAGATCTCTTTGGCGGCTGCTACCAGCAGCCGATCGGCGTTTCTCGAACCAACCACCTGAAGGTACTGGTTCAGAATTGAAGCTTGTTTTTTTTTCGAGGACCAGCGAGTTCTCAGTTCTTGAAGTTGCCTACTTTGAGTCATCAGCTGCTAGAAATGCGCTGGGAGACCTTAATGAAGTGTACGGTGCACCCGAATGGCGGTATTTCTCTCCGGATTCCTGCGGCCAACGGAAGTGGTTTCGCGGTAACTACTATAGACGCCTCACCTGAACTCCAAGTGGCAGGCCGCTGCTGTCCAATCCCATTGGGCACTGCACAACGGGTAGAGCCAAAACGTTGAACAGACCCGTGTAGACACAGTTGAATGGCGTGAAAACGGTTTGGTGGTGGAAAGGAGCAGTCTGTGGCCATCTTAATATAAAATGATCATTCACAAAATCGATATCGATTAGTTTCGCAAATATCAATAAACTGGACTATCATACACTTGGTGTCCATGACAGGCGCGCCCACCCACCCATTCACATAACCCACAATGGTACAAGCATACAACAGCCAGATATCCAAACACCTCTCAAAGACCTACCCAAACAGACCGACAGATAGACAGGCAGACACCTACACACACTTCTAATCGATTCAGCCTACAATTTGTTGGCTTCTTTTTTATTTTTCCAATGCTACTTCGATGTTCACGGGTTACAAGGTCGTAGCGTGGCTGACATGACTTTAATTTTCACTTATTGTTATGCTGTTTTGATACGCAAAATTTTAATAAAGTTGCTCAGGGAAGTATCGAAATGCGCTTGTTTGTCACCTGTACTCTCTGGGTAATTATACGGAAGAGTAAACGGCGACCGACAACTAATTAGACTTATTTTTGACCAATTTATCTGTAAAAAGCTGTAGTAAGTCAGCGCAAAAGGCTTAATGAATTGCAATGCAGACCCTGACCAATACACCAGTCCGTCTCCCAGCCGAATCTGACACCGGTAAGTCATCGATTGAGGGGGCTAGGGCCAACAGGCTAGACCAAGAGACTTCCATCTAGTCGTACTTGGAACAAGGTACAGAAAATAAAGCGACCAACGTAGCTTACAAGTGTTTTGGATGACTTTTTATCACTAGCGTAATTTGCTGAATACTCAAAGATTGAACAGAACTCACGAAGGGAACAGGAGAATTCCATTGTCTCCTAGAGTTTCCGTGACTTGCCGAACGAGACGACTACGAAGTTTTCGAAACTGCAATAGTTGCCATTGTAAGTAATGCCAACGTGATGTCATATCAGCCGAACGTTGGGAAAGCCCAGCCAAACGTTTACTTCTGAGAGCACAGACAATGAAGTTCAGGGCACTAGTTCTAAAAGGTTCGTGTACTTGTGAGTATCTGAGGGCAGTAGTAAAAGCGGGAAGATATTGACAAGTAAGTGGCGTCCTTTACTGAAAAAATATCCCCATCTTAAGCTCGACAATCTCGTGGGACCTGTAACTGTAACTGATGGTCCCTTTATCTTTTCATTCCTACCATCAACCGAGAGGGGCAGTGAAATCCACCAGAAAAAAAGTTACAAATAAATAAATGGTCAAGTATGGAAAATGGGAACGAATTTAGAAATAAATAGCAATGTCGAACCTCATCCTTTTCCGTTTCTGGCGTTCTATCGATGTCTTCGATCATGGCGACTAACAAAGCTCCAGGTGTATGTACAGACTTCCCCACTAAGTACTTCGGAATCTCGAGTTTCCAATTCAATTTACCTTTGTCACCCTGGAAATGCAGACCTTACTTTCCATATCAATCGATCACTTGGACTTCATCACAGTTTGCTTCATGATATTTAGTGCTGTAGTGCAACTCTAGAGGAAAGATCATCACTGCGAGAAGAGAGTAATGGCAGACCTCCAAGCTGAGCAAATATTCGCTAGGTTTCGGTTCACCTTCAACCTCCAGACTGGCAAAAAGCATTTCAACAGCTTTCTGAGCGAACAGCAAATCCAGTCGAATGGCTTCGACGTTAAACTTCGTCTCAAAGTGTTTTACAGCCTGAATTTTAATAGCGTAATTGAAATTGATGCGTGAAAAAGGTGCCAACTGTGTGGCAGTCAACATTGCAAGTTAATAAAACTGAGAGGGTGGCTCCTGTTATGTCCACGACAGACATGGTCGTGGGATCATTCAGATCATCATCGAGACAGAAAAACTGTTCGGAGTACGTTATGTTGAAGTCAGACACAAGTGGCCCTATATTATTGAAATTTACAAAATTCGGCAATATTCGAGTCATTCTTATTTTTCCATAACAGGGTTCAAAATGAACAGAATTGCTCTAAAACTCTCAATAAAATTGTTTCTTAATTATACCTCTAACAAAGTCGATCTCATTTCACAGCTTAACGACTGCAGAGTTGGAATCTGTATGCCTTCCATGTAAAAGATACGGATTTTGCTGAAATCCACAGGGTCCGAAAGTCGTAGTTGAGGAACTTTGTCACCGCCCATCACCTGGAAACAATTTCATTTGATCATATCAATCTGGATGACCTTTCAGATGTGTCAGATTGCTTTGCCCACTGATTCGTTACGGTAGAACCGCCTTAGTCGGTCGAATTTTCGAACAAATCGTCGTCTGCTCTGAACCACCTTCAGGTCTTTGGAGACGACAATTTCTTTGAAACGTCAACCGAAGAAAGTCGCTTTCACATAACAAAACTGCACTGCAAAGCAGTGTGAATCATTGTGTAACATGCCCAGGTTTCAAGATCCCGAATCCGCAAAATTCATCACATACTCGTAATCAATCTAGGGAAGCAAAAAACACCTCAGTTAGAATTGGAAGATCTTCCACATAGCGGCACATTGGACCAACGCGTAGCATTTCTTCTGGATAGCCTGTGACCGGAGGTACATGGCCGTCAAGTGGAACTATCCCTAAACAGGATGTTCATTACAGATATTACTGTTCAGTCAAATATAGAAATTAAATGAAAAAATAGCCAAGATGGGGAAGGCTAGAAGTCTCGGTAGTATAAGATACGAAGAATGCGATGCCCGGAAAACACGACCTCGGGGTCGGGTCTCCTCGAAGGTCGAAATTTCGAATTCGCTAACCTCATGAAAAATGGTAAACTGACTCAACCTAAGCTAGCTGGTTTTTGGAAAAATAAATTAGCTTTATTGCTTTTGATTCCTTGTTACTCTTGGTGAAAGTTGAGCTCTGCTTGTGCTCGTCCACCAGATGACGATTTCATTGCTTATCCTAATTTCAGATCGAAGTCGAAGTGAATCGTTTTGGAACTTTGTGATATCGATCAAGTTTCGATTGTGTAAAACTTTTCAGTTGCAGATAGAAATTTTGATTTTTTTCTTGTCATTCTATTGGGACCTCGGAGGGTTTTTCTATTTCCCTGGGTGACATAGTATGTAGTAAGATCAAATAAAATAAAACAAGCACTTACATACGAGTATTCAACCAATTTGAAAATCAGCATAAGATTTGGGCATGGACTAGACGAATCCCTCCCGTTTCTATTTATATTGTAAAGGGTGAGACCAAATCGGAGTGCCACAACCTATTTCTGTTTCAATGTTCTAAATTTCTTTAGAATCCCAGGCTAGCACTGGTCACCCCTCAAACACGCTGCCGCTCTCACGACCGGTCACCCAAGTTTCAGTAAATGTTGCCCGCCCGGATTCCCCGAGTGAGCGATCCAAAAATTGAGGTTTTTGACGCAACCACAAGTGGAAGGTCAGACGCCCGTAGTACCTTGAGATACTGGGTTAAAACCGACGACAATAGCGCTCATCGCTATCCCATTCCACGGCGTAGCTTACAAAGAGCGGGTTCGGAACGTGCCCGATCTATCCTCGAAGAGGGCGCTGAGAAAACGACAGCTGCGATGCTGGAACTCGTGGAGGGATGATTACGGAATGATTATGATGTCAAAGGACACTTCCAAGTAACTTTTTCAACGTAAACTAATTCAAGCGAAATTGCTGGCCATATATTTGCTGATTTTCTTTTAAGCATCATTATTTTATCAGACAGTGGAACATTACCTACTTTTTTTTAAAAATTGCCGTGTTCTGCAATGAAAATTGGGTGAAAAGTTCACTTCCCTTTGAGGAACGTGTTCTGAATCATTTGGGCCGTGGTTAACATTCTCCGTTTATTTTTTTTTCCTTTTCCCTTTCCAAGTAAAAATATTTCTTCAAAAGATCACTACCG